TCGAAAGAAGTTAACCCTTTTAATTCCAGTGATCCTTTGAATCTTTGTTTCTTCACCTCCAAACCTGTCTCCACCCTTCTTACCTGTCTGCAGCTGTCAATTTGCATTAACAACTCCAATGCTTCTTCTTCATGTCCTTGGAAATCTACTCCAAACATTTTTCCCAATTTGATCATATTTTGATGGACCCATATTGTTGCATCCATGTCTTTATCCAGTAATGGATTGTGTTGCTGAACTGCTATAGGATTCACCTCCTCGATTTCCCACTCTTGAATAGAGCTAATTTGCTTTAGATGTTCCAAAGTACTTCCCACATGATCATTCCTCATCTTTGAGTTTATGCTTTGCTCCCCTTCCTTCTGTTCCAATCTTGCCAAATCTGCTCCACCTTCTGGCTGACTGCAACTGGTAATTGTTTCCTTTTGCATACTTTCAAGATTCACATTAAGGGTTTGGTCCCCTGGAGAGGACTCTTTTGCCCCCGAGTAAGAAGGTCCTCCCATTTCCTCGATACAAGGCTTCAGCCCAGTATCATCAGAGATCTCACACGAGAGGTCATTAAAAATGACTTGTGCTGCCATATCGGGGTCATAGGATTTCAGCTTGACTTTTGACACTTTACTGCTCTAGTTGAACCTTGTGTAAATTGTCCACTTGCCTTTCCTTTACCAGTGTTAAGCTCATACCGTGTCTTTCTTTCAGCCCAGATTGGGATGAAAAATTTGGTACCGTCTCTTTCAATCTCCACCTCATTGGGAGTCTTTCTGCCATCACCAGCAATTTTGATTCTTGCCCACTTAAGATGGTTTTTGAGATCAGTTTCTTCTTCTGTAGCTAACCATCCCCCACAGAGATCTCCTATTTCTTTGAAGATCTTTTGTGACCATAGATGTAAAGGAATCCCCATGGCTCTAATCCAGCATGTTTCCTCAATTTGTGAGTTTGGAATGCAACCGGCAGTATGATTCCACCATTCCAGATGAAGCTTGAATTTTTTCCATCTCCATTCTCCTTGCACAATCTGCTCTGCCATGAATCTGTTTGGAAATTCAAAAAGAAACATGTTTCCTGTCATTTCGTATATGTTTACTCCGTATGCTTTGTTCCATGAAACACTAGCCCATCGCCTTATGTCTGCTAAAGTGGGTCTCTCATTGATTTCTTTCCCAAAAGACCCGATAATACATCTTTTTAGTAGGCCTGTGTCCTCTCCTCCAGTAGGTTCCATAACAGAGATTTCCCCATTGTTCGTGTTGACCCTTGCCTCTCGAAGTGTATTGGACTGCCATTTACTCTCCTTAACTACTTGGGCATAAGGTAGATTTTCCACAGTGTTTCTGGATGGTACTATGAAAATCAGCCTGGTGGTCTGATAAATGAATCTTTCTATCTTAGCTGCTATGTCTTTCCAGCCAGAGTTCAGAGTTAACTCTGGAAGTATTATCACTGACCTCCCTTCTCCCTTCAGTGACAGAATACTCACATATCTTCCATGAGCGTTATATTTTCTAGTACAGAAATGTTCTGTCATTTGCTCCTTGTACTTCCATCTCTTCACTAGATTGTTTTGATCTGTCGAGGCTTCTTTAAGTGCAAAGCAGATCCATTCCATTGCCTTTCTGCCCATGGATGATCTTCTCATCATGTTGCGACTTCTCTCAACCCATTCAAACCATGTGTCTTTGTTAGAGTTCCATCTGGTGATGTCGAAAGATTTGAATCCTGCGTTGAAATATATCCTGTTGTCTCCCATATTGTACTAAACCAGCTGCTCAGCTTATGAAAGTTAAAGGTTGTTTGGAAGTTATCCCAGTGAGCTAGAAAGCTCGAAAATGAAAGAGGAAAACCAGAACCAGAAATCTGGAGGGTTCCTGCCACCGGAAAAAATAAAAGTTGTCGGAATTCAGAAAGGATTGTATGGTTGTGGTCGGAATTCCCCAGTGATTGTGCTGTCCAAAAGAAATTTTTTGAAAAGTGGTCGGAATTGTGCTCACGCGCCGGCGCGTGGCATTTTCCTTGCCGGAGACTGGCTGCGCGTGGGGGCGCGTGAGGGGTATTTTATCGGAGCTATTTTCAGAGGGGTGGTCGGAACTTGATCGGCGTTCTAATGGTGTTTATGGACTCTCAGAATTCCTTGTTCTCAGGCTCCTCGGGGAGTGTGCCTGAGAGCTTAAGAAAGAAGAGAGAGAAAGTACCAGAAATTCATCTTTTCTTCAATCCCTCTCCTTAAACTCCAACATATACAAAAGAAAAAGAAGAAAAATCCTAGCACCAAGGAACAATCTAAAGAGGAAAAAGAACGTGAAGCAAGAGAAGGATCCATAGAAAAAGCAGTGTGTTGTCAGGAAAAGTAAACAACGGGCTAGCAGAAATAGTGAAGAGAAGAATGACAACCGACCTATAACCCACGCGAGAGCTCGATTTAAAATCGTATATAGGAACTTGAACAGGCTTCCCCGCTTTCAGCCCATGTATATTCTCAAGCAACGTCTCATAGTCTGTCAAGCGTGGATCTGTTTCAACAATACCAGGAGATAAAAGTCATTGAAAATCTTCACTTAAATTCAATCATTTGTCACAGCATAGCTTCTACTCTCCTTGGTAATAAGGTGGCAAAAGAACATTAAAAACTAAAGCAAAATAAAACCGACTATGCTGAGTGCTGAAATGATCCAAAACAGTAAACTATGGCCTAACCATTTCCGCAAGACCACATGCTGGAAGTAACATCTCAAAATGCAAGAACACTCAATCGATTTTTTTTCGATTAAAAAATAAGTGCATTGTTTTCTTCAACGATCCTTTGTGGCATTTTACAGGAACACCTTATGCTCAAGGCCTTGTGAGCCTGATATACACAGCTATATATCAAGATTTTTCAAGAGTTGTTTATAATCAAGGATTTTAAAACTCTAGCTCTTAACTTTCTAGCTGAAAAAAGTTAAACCAAAAAACTCGTCTGTTATATCCTTCCTGATAAAGATGTGCAAAAAGCATTAGGAGTTGCATACTGTGACAGAATTTCACTTATGAGACAAATTCCAAAACTTCTAGCAACATTTATTTGATGATTATGATTGGTTCCCAAACTCAGCACCATAGAATCCAGAGAGATTTAGACTCATGAACAGTCTTCACATAAAAAAGAACAAATTGAAAAACTAAATTAAGGAGAGGTGACAGCTGTACACATCAATCATCCGTGAAAGAAAGGAGCAATAAGATCTGCAAATTAAGAAACTGGCTAGCAGCCAATATTTATTCATTAATTCAAGAAGACTAGATACTTTTGCATTTTCAATATTTTTCCTTATATCAACAGTGGTCATGCTCCAGCTATGAAAATAGTATTCCTTGTTGGTATTTTACTCTAATCATTCATCAGCACATTATATTCTTATTATGATTTGACTTTTAGAAGATTCATAAATCAAGAATGCCATGAAGTCAGGAGGTATCAATCAGCCATACTGTTGCAGGCCTAAAATAAATAAATAGGTGCCTCCCTTCTTTGCCAACTTTAACTTTTAGATGAAGCAGTAGCAGCAAGGTATAAAGGGTTTAAGCTACATTCTTCAGCATAGATATATACTTTGTCTTGCAGTGTGCTTTACTGAACTGTACAAAGTATCTGTTCAAATGATGTCTTCATCTTTCATGTGCATATGCATATATGTATATGTGTGTGTATATATATATATATATAGATCAGGGATGAATTTAGAGAAGTGTTAAGACTACTAGTTCTGGAGCTTTTTTTTCCTTTTTTTTCTTTTTTTGATAACTTAGAAATCTCCAAGGGGTCAGTAGTGCACGATTCAAAACTCGGTGGAGAATAGGCCCGCCCCACTATCCTTCTCCACTTAAATACTAGGCTTTCATCTGTGAAAGGATTTTAAACCCGTGATGTGCGCCTAACACCCAAACATCACGTGTTGCACTCAAACCTCTAGACCAAAGCCTTGGGCAAACTACGGGTCATGGAAAACAAATGCTGAATTCCTTAACCCGAAATGCAAACAGCTTCTATGTTCTCCATGTGGACTCCCTAACAGTATAATCAACTGATCTCAAGATTTTTGGCTTTTCTAGTTGGTAGTATAGACTAAATAATTCACTCGGACTGATTACTGGGTGAGCGTTATTTTACTAGTAAATTTCATAAAACAAGATATTCAGCACAAGTTGTTCTCCTCAAGGACATGATTTTATTATATAATCACTAAGCCAATATAAAGTTACCATGTCTTATCTATTGTAGATGATAAAAGTTGGAAATACTTTATCAGAGTAAAGGAAAAAAATTATTATAAATAGATGCAGAATGTTTCCCTTATAACATATATTAGAATATTTCCTCAAAGCTTATTTGATTTTTAACATGCTGCTATACGTACTTCGATGAAGATTGTGGAAGATGGATAAAGACAATGCCCGTGCAATAATCATCTTCTTAGAAGAATCCACACTTCATGACCGTTGTACTTTGTGATTACTATTTATTAGTTGTTCTGTAAGGACATCTATGCTCAGGATGATGTATCCAGATGGATGACTTGGATGGTAACATACTCTCCTATATTAGTACTTTAATTACTTTCAAGGCAACCAAGTTAACAAAAAGAGAATTACCATCAGAATCATCTCTCAAAATTTTCTCTCTTCAGCAAAGGAGAGGTACAGCAGAAACACGTAGTAAGTGTATTAGATATATATCCCCAATTCAATATTCTGTGAAACAGAGTGTTTGTGCATGCTTCTCTATGAATTCTTTCCACATATATCATTCAAATCCTAGTGTTTGCAATCTCCTTCCCCATATGGAGTGATATCAACATATCCCACAGTAAGAGAAATCTGCAGGTTGCTATTTGAAGATGATGCAAATAATCAAACAAATGCTACATAAGGTCACTAGAAGAATAAATCATAGACAACAAATTATCTCATGTAATAACCTATCAGAAAGACCGAAAGCAAGACTACCATCGAAGTTTCCATCAATGATACGGCTGGGATCATTGTAGTTGTCCATGTTTATGATAGCAATACTAGGCATAACATTCAGGATCTTTTCTGTGAACACGGTCTTTCCGGCCCCTGAAGGACCAGCGACTCCCACCAGTACAATTCCTTCATTCTTCTGAACCAACAACTGGCATGCACGGATAACTATAAAGAAACCCTTCTCAAATGATAGTTGATCTTGAATTGGGACTATCTCATAACGAGCAGAGTTGCTTCTTTTCACCAATTGAACTTGATCTCTTAATAGGCCAGACCTTCTTCGAGGTGAATCGGCACTTGAAAGAATATCCTGGGCCATTAAATAGCTCGAAAATGCTGCAAATAAAGATGCAAATAAGGAATTTAAATTAAAACAGCAATCCAAACATTACAGTAGTCTATGGCCCCCAGAACGACATCGTTGGGGGGGGGGGTATACGACATCATCTGCAAGAGAATTTCATTTGCAAAGAAAAAGTTGCAAATTCTGTATTTGTTTGGCATGCTTTAAACAAAAATTTAATCTCTGCAGATATCAGGTAAATTTCTTGAAAGGATACTGATCATGAGAAAATGAGGTCTCAAAGCAGCTCTTGATAATCAAAGCAAAAAAGAAAAACCATATATGTGCACACGCGTGTATAGGAAGAATACATGCTAGTATATCTAATCATGAACAAAGTGGTTAACGTAATGCATGTTACAACAAATAGCAACAACAGCGAGTTTACATCTCACTATGCAGCTTGCAGTTCAGAAAATTGGAGATACTCCAGCAGTGCATATCAAACCACTAATTGGCCACTCACTCTATCCCAAGATGGTCGTTACATTTTGCATCCCCATAGTAAACTAAAATGATCCTTGACTTAAAAATTTCAAAAAAATAGTGTTTGTCTAACTCCACTAGGTCGCAAAGTGTAGCAGGTCTCAACACTAGTTAAAAGAAAAGTTGTAGTAGGCTGAAGGCGTAAAAATGATTTAACTATGATGAATCTTTGAAAATGGATACAAGCCAACCCCGTGGCGGAGGCAGGATCTCCACGGAGGGGGTTCAAAAAAATATTTTTGTAGCTAGTGAGAATTGAACCCATGACCTTATGTAGATTTTGAACCCCTTGACCATTAAACTACACTTTTGGATTGTGTTAAGGGTGTTCAAAACTTAATATATAGAGATAAAAAACAGATTTTGCCTTATATATACGGCGTAATTTTTCGGCGAAGGGTGTTCGGGTGAACACCCTTGCGCCCCCCTAAATCTGCCCCTGAGCCAACCTCACTAATTTGCGGTTGACGCGAAATTAATGGATAATTAATATTCTAATGTCATTTTGATATGAAAAGAATCGCAGTTTAGAGTAATTTCTGTATAGTTTATAAATATCTAAAGTTCACTTTCAAATGTCAATTAGGCGACTGATTTTAGCGCTCAAAATAGGTCAAATTAACCCTAAGAAGTGAAAGTGAGAAAAAACTCCGAATGAGAAACAATAATTTCTCTGAATAGATTTCGAATAAGAGTTTAAGCTAGCTACCTTACTTAAGAGCACAATCAAATGATTTAAGCTAGCTACCTTACTTAAGAGCACAATCAAATGATTTAAACGGCAAAGGAGGTCCTGAAAACTAAAGGAAACTGAAATTGAATATCTAAAGGGTAGGAGGAAGAATGCCTCCAAAATTATATAGTATAGTAACTAATGGAGTAGTAAGAAAGTGAAAAAAAAAAAGAAAAAAAAGAGGAATATGAATGAAAGACTGTAAAAAGAAACTACTCGTGGTAATATGATCCAGTGAGCGCTATATAAATTTTAGTCAACCTACCGACGAATTTCAAGATTATCGACTTCAAGTAGGCAACATGAAAGAATCCGTACAATTTAATTGTTGGTGTTAATTGATAAAGCGAACTACTAATTTCAAAGATCAACCAGAAAGTACAACTTTGAGATAACAGAAGGCTCAATCACATATTCAATCAAAACCCAAATAATTTGGAACTGCATGCAAAACCAAACAATTTATACCAAAAACATTGAATTAAAGACCGTTGATTAACAGACCTTGAAAGTTGGGGCAAATCCTTGTACCTCTGATCAAATGAGAAGACACGTATATATTAGAGAGGAATCCGAAATTAGCTCGAATTTTTGGTTCTTGGTGTTGTCCAAGTGAACTGACTGCTATTGGGTTTTAACTCGGAGAAGTTACTGAGTTAGTTGGATATTTTGTCTTTGGCCGTCGCTGTAGGACAGGGGAAAAGAAACATGTGGACTTATTAGATAAAGATGAGAAAAAGGAGGGAAAGAAAAAGAAAACCGTACGCCGTATCGTTGCGTATGAGGGTTGTTTGGTTCATAAATACTAGTACTAGTAGTACTACGGGGTACTTTCCTATTTGTGGAAATATCATAATGGATGAATTCTGCAGTAATTATGATGAAGGAATTGTTGACTTATTACGTATAAATTGTTAGCGATATAGTGGATATGCCCTAAATCCAATCTCATGTTTGATTATTTTGAATATATTTTCGTAAATATTATTTAATATAAAATATATGGCATTTGATATTCTTTTATCATAATTATTATTAATTATTTGATTAATTTAATAAGATCCTTGATTAAATTTTGAGACTTGTCATCGTGATGGAGATCATGATAATGAGAGTAAAGTCTCTTACAATTTAATCTTCGTATGATTATTAATTTGGACATTAGTAATCTGGTTAGATTAATATTTATGTGGTAGTCTTTATGGGATAAAGATTAGTTGATCTCATTAACTAAATCACATAGATAGATGATGCATATAGAGATATGATCATTGAATAGATTCATTGGAGTTCCTAATGGTTAGAATTACCATAAATTGTCAATAGGATATTCTATTGAAGAATGTGATGTAAGAGTTTCCTTTGACCTAAGATCGTAATAGTAATTGACAACTTATTAATTGTGCTTTGATATTACACACCTATGGTCCTAAGGCGATAGTTGAAAGGGTAATGGGTATGATTAAATACTTGTAAAATTAGTAATTGATCAAGATGGAGTATGTCATAATGAGTTTAAGCTTCATGTTGTCATGAATTATAAACCGAGTCCATTACTCAAATGGTCACTCAAATATCTCAAATTATCTCGTAAAGTCACTTTACTTTCGTTTGTAACAACAAAGTCATTAAACTATGCCTATTGCATTCATAAGGTCACTCAACTAGATTTTCCAAATTTTGGATTGCCAAATACCTATTTTACCCTCTAAATTGTAAACATTTATCTTCTTATTATTTTGTTTAAACTTTTTAATATTATAATTTTTTTCTTTATTATTTATATTATGGACTTACCTATAAAATAAAAAAATATTATTTATAAATTAAAAAAATAAAAAATATTTAAGCATATATAATGCTGGAAAATGAGCATAGCAAAAAAAAATTAGAATAATTTGTTAACAATAATTATTTTAGTATTAACAACAAAACTTCAAAAAATTATTTACACAATTCAGAATGAAAGAAAATAAAGGTTATAAAATATATATATTTCATGCACGTAATATAAAATAATTATTTAAATAAAGCTATTTTTATAATATACATTATATATTCTTGAAAATTATGCTCAATTATATTATATATATTCCATCCACGGCTTAACATAGCATATTTTACCCTATACAGATAGTTCCCCTGCTTTCCGGTGACATTACTTTATGTCATCGGAAAGTTGGTAGAAATATAATGATATAATTGAGCATAATTTTCAAGAATATATAATGTATATTATAAAAATACCTTTATTTAAATAACTCTTTTTATATTACGTGCATGGAATATATATTTTACAACCTTTATTTTCTTTCATTCTGAATTGTATAAATAATTTTTTGAATTTTTGTTGTTAATACTAAAAAGTTTTAAAAAAATAAAAAGAAGATAAATATTTATAATTTAGAGGGTAAAATAGATATTTGGCAATCCAAAATTTGGAAAATCTAGTTGAGTGATCTTGTGAATGCAACAGGCATAGTTCAGTAACTTTGTTGTTACAAATGAAAGAAAAGTGACTTTAGGAGATAATTTGGGATTGTTGAGTGACCATTTGAGTAATTGACTCATTATACACGATCAAATTAGGACCTTAGCTAGAGCAATTGAATGAAAGAAGAGAGTTTCTTAGGTCACTCAATGGTCGATTATATTTGACATGTACGCATAGTTGGTCGCCTGTTAGGATTTGATAGTTAAACCATATCCTAGGATGATCTAGAGATATAAGGACAGAAGGAATTACTACATTATTCTTCTAGAGAATAAATTGTATATTTTATTCTATTCAGCCGATTAAGGAGTGTTGCTAGACGTCACCTTTGATTAGTCTATTGATGTGATCAATTTGCTATCGGTTTAGTATTGGGGTCGCCCACTAACGAGTGTTGTGATCTTTGCTAAATGATTAATTAACTCATTATTTGACAATTGAATTAAAATTTTAATTAGTCAAATAAATAAAGTCNATATATATATATAATAAATTAATATTGATTTATATAAAGGTTATGTATATAATATTAATTTATTCTTACCAATTTGGAATTGGAATTGGAATTATACGGTCCATACAGGACGTATAAGTTAAATCCAATGTTGAATTGGAGTGACGTGAATCCTTAGGGATATTCGACATAGTCTGTTTGGTTAAGCTGCAAAAAATTAGCTTATTTAGAAAAGTTTTTTTTCTCAAAAGTACCTTTGGTGAGAAGCAGTTTGTGTTTGGCTAAATAATTTGAAAAGTACTTTTGAGCAGCAATTGATGTTTGGCCAAACTTTTAAAAACTGCTTCTAAGTGTATTTTTCTCAAAAGTGATTTTCAAAGAAGAGCTTTTGGAGAGAAGTTACTTTTTTCTGTTTCTCCAAAAATGCTTCTACTTCTTCTCAAAAGCAACTTTTTTCTTCCAAAAGCTTGGTCAAATACTTCAACTTTGAAAAATAAATACTTTTTTTTTTTTTTTGAAAAAAGTGCTTTTAGGATTGGAGAAGTTTCGCCAAATAGGTTGTTAAACCCATTTGAAATGGGATTATACTTTCAGTATGAAAATATTAATAAAAAGTTTATAAATTAGTATCCAACTTAGAATTGGCTTTTAAAAGTCCATAAGGACTAGTTACGGCCACACTGATGAAACTCTGATGAATTGATAGTGAAAGCCCTAATTTGATTCTGCCACAGCTAAACATAGGAGAGAGGAGAAGAAGCAGAGTATTGTATTGAGAGGAAAATGAAAATCTGTACTGTTACAATGAAATAACTATACATATATAGACATCTCAACTTCCACTAACTACCTAACTAATACCCTACGTGTACATTCATTCACAACTAACTAACCGAATAATGAGCTTTCACTACTGTACACTAATACATCATGTAATCCCTATTTCATCACTCCCCCTCAAGCTGGAGGGTGCAAAGACATTGAGCACACCCAGCTTGCCAACTTGATACTAATGTTGTGGTCTTCCCGAGCCTTTAGTTAGAACGTCTGCTAGATGATCTTTTGAACAAATGTACTGAGTCTTCACCAGGCCTTCTTGAATCTTCTGTCTAATAAAATGAAAGTCAATTTCTATGTGCTTTGTTCTTTCATAAAATACTGGATTTGTTGATATTTGTATTGCAGCTTTGTTGTCACTATACACATATACTGGTAGCTTTACTTTTGTTCCCAACTCCTTCAGTAATGCTGCTAGCCAAACAAGTTCTGAGACTGCACTGGCCATACTTCTATACTCAACTTCAACTGAGCTTTTAGAGATGGTGCTTTGCTTCTTGGATTTCCATGAAACTGGGGATTCTTTATACTTAATTAAATACCCTGACACTGACTTCCAAGTGTTAGGACATGAAGCCCAATCAACATCACATAAAACATTAAGCTCATTTGAACTTTGACAGCTCAATAAGATCCCTAGTCCTGGCTCCCTTTTAATGCACTTCACCACTCTTATAGCTGCATCCCAATGAGACCTTTTTGGATGTTACATAAATTAGCTAAGAGTCTATACTGAGAATGCAATATCTGGCCTGGACATGGTCAAATACAATAGTTTTCCAATGAGTTTCTAATCTTGACCTGCATCTTCCAAAAATTGATCTTCTGTTGTGCCAACTAATTTGTCAAGTTCTGGAATTGTCAGCTTTACATTTTCCTCTAATGGAGTCCATGCTGGTTTTGCTCCTCCTAATGCCAAATCTGATATTATTTCCAGTGCATACTTTCTTTGGTTGATCAAAATACCCTTATTGGACCTCCTGAATTCCATTGCAAGGAAGAATTTTAATTCACCTAAGTCTTTGATCTTGAAAGCTTGTTGTAAGGAGACTTTCGTGGTTTCAATCAACTGTAGGTTGTTTCCTGCAACATATCTGTTCCATTTCGTTTTATGAACAATGAGTGATCTAAGTTGCTTTGTTTGAACTCAAACTGCACTAGGGCTTTTGTTAGCTTTAGGTTCCATTGTCTACTTGCATGTTTCAGACCATAAAGAGATTTTACAAGTCTAGATATTATCCCAGACTCCCCTGGCTTGTAAAATCCTATGGCAATTGCATATAAACTTCATCATATAAGTCACCCTACAGAAATACATTATATATATCTAGTTGATAGACTGGCCAGTTATGCATTGCTACTAAGGAAAGAACATTTCTCACAGTAGTGATCTTAACTACATAAGAGAAAGTCTAATTGTAATCAAGACCCTCTCTTTGATTATAGCCTTTAGTTACTAACCTAGCTTTGAATCTCTCCACTATCCATTAGCCTTGAGTTTAACTTTGTACACCCATTTGCAACACATTGTTGTCTTCCCTTGTAGTAAAGGAACTAGTTCCCAAGTCTTGTTGTCCTGCAAGGCTAGAATCTTAGCTTGCATAACTTCAACCCATCTCACATCCTTAGAAGCTTTCTGGAAGTTTTGGGGCTCCATAACTGAAGAAAAAAATACCTAAATAGGCCTGATAGGAGACACAGTTTTGGATTGGATATATCACATGGTTAACTGATTTCTTTGTGATGACATAATTTGTCAGCCAAACAGGTTCTAGATTCCCTCTTTGATCTTCTTAAGAGGCTAGGAGTTGTGCATGTAGCAGGAGGAGAAGGGAAGTCCGTGACAACCTCAAGATCACTGATTTTAGGAGGAGAGCTTTATGTGTTAACATAAGGTGGATCTTCAGCATCATGCGAGGATGCAGTGCTATCTGAGGCATTCATCTGCTCAGGAGCATAAATAGTATCA